TCTGCCACTAGCCACGCCAACGAGACTTACTCGTAACTGCGTGGATAAACTTTGTTTAAACTGGGTGAAGGGGACCGAGGTTTCCCGAGGGGTCTTCTTCAGCAATGAGACTAGTTGAGTGGGGGTAGAGTGGCCGTGAGCCGGGGCTCATAACCTGTTAAAGTGCGACTGAACTCTTGCTTTATTCTGTGCTACAGGGCCAGTATATATACATGTGAGTCAGGACCTCTGATACCGCTATAAGACCTATGGTACTGTGAGCGTAAGCATGTATACTAAGCATGAGTAATCATATGTCGTATTACTACAAGATAATCGGGGGTCATGTGATGTATCCCCATTAGTCCGTACAGGGCAATGACGTAATCGCCCAGTTCTGACATAGCGAACGTCTACAGGAGGATTCATACTCTCGAGGCGCTGCTGTTCGGCCAAGGGGCCCCAGCGTCCTATTCTTGTTGGGGCCGGTTCTTGAGGATCCTCGCGAATCCTGTCTATCGATGCAAGGGCCCGTACTCGACATGTTGAAAAGAGCAGGTATAATATGAAAGAGAGAATAAAATGAAGGGCATACTTTAAGGCCCTGGCCTACTGTCCGGAACAGGCTATATAGCATTATCGCGTTCGCAAGAGTACGTCTACAGCGCTTAAATTATTCTCACGCCACGATGTCTCGGCAATCACCGGCACATCCACGCGTTCAAAACACGCGCACGCTCTCTCTCTTTTTTTTCGCTTGTTTATAAAGGCCCGTAGGACTACTGCTACATGAGGGCCTGCCGCACGCATGCTCTCAACTCGAAACCAAACGCCATAAGCGACGCCGGGGACGATCCTAGTTTTCTTGCTCTGCCTTTGCGAATGCGCGGGCGTGTAGATCGCGCTTTCGACTCTTTTTCAAAGCTACGGTCGGCGAATGGGGAAGAACCGGCGCGCAAAAAGCGCAAGCTAGCTTCGCGTGGAACGGCCTCTGGGGGGGCTACCCCTGGTGGCTTCCTACTGGAAGGCACTCCTGAAGCAGGCGGATTTATTAGTGACGCCGGAGCGGGCGGGTTTCTCCCTGAGGACTCCACACTAGGTGGTGGTTTCCTGCCCGAGTCGTCTGACGAAGACGAGAACGCCGGCGAGAACGACGACGGCGCACGTCCAGATACGATACCCTTCAACCTGATTCCCTCGGCACTGCAGCTCCTCGATCTGCAGCCTGACGACGAAGACGTCCTGTCTGTCTTCCGCAACGCTGCGACAGGCTGGGAGAACGAGCGCGGTGCGCCGGAGGACGACGCGCACCTGTTTGTCAGTCGCAAAGACTGGCGGGCGGTCTGCGCCGCTTTGCTCAACGTCGGTGGTGAAGATGATGCCGAGGACGTCGACGATGAAGCGGTGGGCGATAACGACCCAGAGCTCAGCAGGCCCTCCGAGGAAGAGTACGTCGAGTCCGAGGACGGCTCCGAAGAGGACGAAGAGGACGAAGACTCTGACGATGAGTATCAAGGTGGCGGGTTCGTACGTACGAAGGCTGCGGGCACAACTAGTAAGAGCAAAACAGCCAGCAAGCGCGGGAAAGGACGGGGTACGACAGAGTCGTCTCTTTCTCCACTCGAAGTCAGCGATGACGAGGACCTCGAGATTCGGCCCAAGCGGATTACGCCTAGGCAGAAAGCAGAGGCCCGCCGCGCTTTTGCCATGTTTTTCCCGAACGTGCCTGATAAAGAATTGGACAAGCAAAAGATCATGATCAAGGATATCGCCCGCACGGAGTCCTTGATAAATCTCAAATCGACTGCCGACGAGGCAAGCATCGACTCTTTCGCCAGTTCCGCGCGCCCTGTGCACCCCTATGCTGACCGTACGTTATGCATAGATCGTACAAATGCTAAGTGCATTTTCGACTTCGCCAGACAAATCCATGAGCCTGCGCGACTTTGAGCGGATGATGGTTGCCGCAAAGCTTGCTTAAGTGCCTCGCGGCTTCGCATTATTGCGGTATAGCACATTGGTACATCACTCACTTTCTTCTGAGCCGCTATCGCATGCTAAGATATATCATATCATAGGTAACTATTTGCCGCATAGAAGAATGGCATACAGAACGCATATAGGTATCATACTAGTGCTACAGGTAAAATACGGTCGTCTACAAGCTATCGATACAGTTTAGTGGCAATCAAAGCGCGAGGGGTATCATCCGAAACAAGGTGTGTGTCAAAGCAACCAAAGCGAGGGGCGGACCCGACCACCTCACATTCCGTGTGGCCTCCTCTGCTCACCGCCTCCGAACCTTTCCCGACGCCGCCATCGTGCTAAAAAGCTGCTCGTACTTCTCTTGCATGCGCGAGCTGAGCTCGATGAACTCGGAGTAGGCTTTGGGCGGGAGCTCGAGCATGCCGCCCGAGACGCCGATCTTGTCGGCCGTGGGGAAGATGCTGAGGATGTCCAAGGACGATATGCGTGCCTCTGGCACGGTGGAGGGGAGGAAGACGCGGTTGCCGAGCGGCGTGAACGTGTGCACGTCTATCCAGGCGTCGCCGCGTTTGTGCGAGCGGGATGCTGCGTCGTTGGTGAGTCAGGTCCGTGCGGCTGCCAGAAAATGCAGAGCGAGTACGCACCATGAACGACCGTGACTTTGCGTTGGACCATTGCTACGGCGATACAACCCTTCTCCATAGCGTGCATGAGGGATGACGAGATGGATATGATACAGAAGATATTATGGATACAGGAGGCAGTATACAAGCCGCAAAATCGGCGTTGAAGAGTACGGTGGGATATGTTGAGAGGCCACCTCGGCTTAAGTACATCCTCACCTGCTTATTGTTTCTGACGCGGTCTGTGCACACCTCTTGCGTCTTCCAGAGCGAACGTCCTTGAAGACGGCACGGAGAGCGAGGACAATTGTACGCACGAAAGCGAAACAAAAAGCAGTAAGACACGAGGGCCTCGTTGCTCTCTGAGAACGGAATCCATGTTTGCAGTACTTTGCGGGAACAAAAGCGTCGGTTGACGACCGCCCCTCAAAGAGGCAGCGACAAACGAACAGCCCAATTTGGGAACCTCCCGCCTTACAGTAAGACGCCTCGCCCGGAAAGGCAGGTGTTTATGTTTACAGCACATTGTACTCCGGCGCCCAGCAGCCCTCGGCAAAGTGAGACTGACCTTCATGCTCAATGCATATCTTAATGCATTGGAAATAGCGAGATTAAAACCTTGTACTACCCTGCGTACGGATGTTTACGACATCGCGCGATGACGGCACTCGGAGGTTCATTATCACGTCTTGCGGATGATGAATGATAGGCTAGCAGCCACTTACTATGCGACTCAAAGCAGGGAGCTGAAGTCCTTATGATTGAGCGCAGCCAAGCATGGATTAATTGTTTGTATTGCTGTGCCAGCATCCAACCCTACTCCGCAGCACTGGTTGGTCTCATTACTGAAATCGACATATGTCCCTGTATGTCCAAATTGTCATCTCCGACTCGATTTATTTGCTGATTTGCTGATTTGCTGGTCCTACTTTGGTCATAGGCATGATCTCGTGGACGAGTGGGTCATACGGGAGCTTTAGAGAGATCCAGGCTCTGCCCGAGTCCAGACTCGACATCGACTTTCGTCAGCAGCAGCACCAGCCGACCGTTCTCGGCCTCGGCTCATACTCGCCAATCGCGATATACGAACAAGCTGGATTGCAGTAACCCTGTGAAACCAAATCCCAGGACCGCCGTGGGGCCTGCCTGAGGTCGCTTCCGGCTGATAGCGCTGTCTCAGCTTTGATCCTGTGCTAGGGACGTGGCACGGCTACCCAGTGCGCTTTGGTCCGCTTCTCCATTCCTGAAATCTAAGCGTGTGCCACGATGTCAAATCCTCTGAGCCTCGAGTGCCAGAGCCACCGTTTTTGTACCGGCTATCGGCAGCGAGCGGGTGGCTCGATCGGTGCCCGAGGGCGCGGGCGGGGGTCGCCTGCTACTGGGTCGCGACATGACACGTCCCGGCAGGCCCCGAGGATGCGCAGAGCGGAGTGGCAGCGACCCTCGAGTTCTGGCCACTTGATTGAGCATGCACCCTCGGAACACTTGGTGCGATGCCACTTGATCCCGCATTACATACCAACATCTGTTACATCCCCCGCGGCCGTTTCCCTCGCCTGACAGCGGGCCCATGTGCGCTCCCACGAGAGAATCAGGCAGCCTCTGGCGTCGAGGGGGCGCGGGCCTGCCGTGCCCCGCCTCAGTGACACACCGCGGTGTTTCCAGAATGCCCACCCAGCCCGAGGCTGTTCCTCCGCCACCTTACCGAGCCCACTGATTAGGCGCCCGTGCTGGTTTTGGTACCTATAGCCTCCGAACACATACCAAAAAAACCAAAAACGCTACTTGCTGCCGCTCCCTTTTTGTACATGCGAGCCGCCGTCTCCGTTCCCCGAATCGCATTTCCTGCTCGCGAGCTTCCGCGTGCACCCTGCCGTGTCTTTTTTTCTTTTTTCTTTTCTTTTTGCGAATTCGGCACAGGCGTGTGGCTGTCGCACGCCCTGGCCAGCCCCGGACGTCAACCCCATCGATGCATCGCAGATTAGAGCCGGGACATGACGCTGACGCGCGGGTCAGTCACCAGAAATCCATCCCATCCCTGCCGTGGGACGGATGGACGGACAACGATCAGCGCAGCCGAGATGGCAGCAGCAGCCACCCCGTGGGCACGACAGCAAGCTGCTTTTTACGTCTGGCCGCGCTCCGAGCACAAGTGGCACGCCGCACGAAAAACGAAAGGACGAGTCAGCCCTGCGACTGAATGCGCGAGAAGGTCCTGACTCTGCGGGGCCGTGCTGCGCGGCCGCGGACGTCAGATGCGCCTTTCGCGGGGCGTCTGCCTTGGGTGCTACTTTTGCGCGCTCGCTCGCCTCGCTGGCGCCAGCCGTCGCCTCATGCGCGGGGGCTGGCAGGGACGGTGGGGCTTGCACAACCATCTATGGCTTGGTTAGGGACAAGGTTCGCCCTCTCTCGGGTGATCGTCGGACCCGCGAGGCAGCCAGGCTATCCTCCCTGGACAATCTTCTCGTCGTGCGGCAGTGCGCTCTGCACTGGCCCGGCGGCTAGGACAAACAGTGGCGGTGCACCGCGCTCTGAAATTCCTGTACTGAAGAAGCAATGTATTTATTGTTTGCAGTGTACGTAGAACGTTGCATTGGAACACACTCTGGGAAATAATGGAGAGGGGTGCAGAGGTCCGAGGCCCAAAGGGGTATGGTGAAGGAAGGCGTCGCGGATGCAGCGTGATAATCACGAGCGTCGGAGACAGCGAGCGCGGAGTTGGGACTTGGGAGGTAACAGGGAGATATACAGCGATCAAAGTTGCACCAAAGGATGAGAGCCATAACGAGACATAGCGAAGAGAAGACGAAGACATATCGAGGCAGAGAACCAAAAGGGGAAATAGGTCATGACAAACGTTACGAGCCATCCAAGAAAGAAAACCAAACGTCGGGACTATGATTGGGCAGCAGTCGTGACAGGACATGCACTGCCCGAGAGAAAGATGATGGTAGGCAACACAAAGTGTCCAGGAGACAGCGCAAGCCAGGCTCCCGTGCGGCGGGGAGGAGATCGGTGGCAGGACTGTTGTCCACACTCGAGCAGGACGCGCGTCCTAGTTGGCTGTGCGGCGGATGAGGACCAGGTGGGGTGGCGTGAAAGGCGGTGCCAGCGGAGATGAGAGCGTTGTGGGAAGTGACGATTTGTGGGAGGCGTTGGGCGCGACGTGCGACGGGTGATGCCAGTGCTAGAAGACTCCATGATGCCAATTGACGAAAGACCGATGCCTGGGGGGTGACCGTACGCCCTTACGTACGCGGACGGAGGCGCAGGTGCGCTTGCCAGCTGCCCATCGAAACGTGCTGCAGGCCGACGATGTCAATCTGGTCGATGGTGATGTGAGCGACCTTGTACTTGGGATCAGCCTCGTCCTCCACCGGTTTGTCCTTCTTCTCCTGTGCGCGAACAGCATCAGCAACTGAATGAGGAGCGAGGTGAGGTAAGACAGCTCACATCAAGGAACCGTAGCACAGTCTTGGCGACGTTCTTTGCCAGCTTGGAGCGGGTGATTGGCCCAGGTGGGCTACGGAAGTCCCGTGTCGGAATCTGGCGGCTCCAAGGCGTATAGCCCGGCCACTGCCATCGGCGTCAGCAACGATGCTGTGAAGGAGTGAACAAAAGGGCACGAACGTTAATTCGAATAGAGACCGAGGGTCCGCGATTCTGGAACATAGAGTCGTCACGGCCGTGCAAGCGGGAGAACCGGGAGTTGATGGCGTCCTTGCAGTTGATGCCGCATCCGTCAGGGTGTTGCGTGAAAAACATGATGGGCATCTCCAGGTCGACCTCCTCGACGTAGCGGCGGCGATCGCTCTGGGTGTTGGGCCTGTACGTCCTTTGCGGCACGAGGAAGGCGGCGTCGGGCCACTTGCTGGCAATTTCCAGGACGGATTCGACAGCCCCACGGTGGATCGGGACGGTATACGAGCCAGGCGTGTGGTGGACGACCATCGGCGACATGCTGGGACTTGGGGCTGGCACGCGGAGGAGGGGTGACTTGGTGGGGGACGAGACGTTGCTGTGCAGCCCTGAGATGTACTGCGAAGCGGGCGAATACAAAGCGGTCGAGGTCGGGATTGTGAGGTGAGGACGCACTGTAGCAGGAAGCGAAGAGGGTGTTACCGGTAACGAGTTTTGACCTGCGGTAGATGGGGAGGATGTCCCAGCTGATTGTGGGTAGTGCGGGCCCATTGCAGCCAAAGAGAGGTCAGAAGGCGAGTGTAGTCCGGTGGCGTTGCTGGAGCCCTGGGACTGCGTCTGAAGGTCATTGGTGATTATCTGCGGTAAATTCATGCGCAGGGGACCGGGAGAAGGGGTGTGCATGCTGTAGTGACCGTCAGGGTATAGACTGTACGAATACGGTAGCGTTGGGTAGGTTGGCGACTCCAGCGAGATATCCAGACCGAGGGCATTCTGGGAGCGGTAGGCGTATGTTACGCCGTGAGTCGAGTTCTGGGAGGAGGCTGGGCTGTGATGAAGTGTGGCGTCCGGGGTGAAGTCGTCAAAGAGCTGCGCAAACAGGTTAGTGGATAGCGGATAGAGTCGAGATAAAACGAAACCGACCGGTACCATCCATGATGGCTCAAGGCTCGTCGGGTCCGAGAACGACGACGCGTCTCCCGCGTCGGCCAGCCATGAGTCATGGCTGAGTGAGTCCGTGAACTGCGGACTTGCGTGGTGGCGTATGTGCTGGTCGCGGTCCATGTTGTAGTCGAATGCCAGGGGTGCCTGTTGAGGGGGTGTCGGCTGCGGGAGTGAGTCAGTGAGAGATGAGGGGCGAAGGACGTTGGGAAGGTGAGCGAATGCGATCCTTGGTATAAGTATTGCGGGGCAATGCAGGTGATGGGGCGCTAACTTGATGTATGCCGAATCGGGGGGATGGAGGAGACTCCCGAAGACCAGGGACCGTTACACACCTCGGTGCACGGGAACCACGTTTTGGTATGGTTCTGGTTTAGGACTGTTTGGCCTGCGAACCTTAACTATGTTCGGACGGACAAGCGTGATCATCCGTGGCGACAGAGCGCGTCGGCCTTCGTACGCAGCTTGCATCTTCTGATCTGACTCCCGCTGCCACGACAAGGCAGAAGGGAAAAAAAAAGAAAAATGCCACTATTTCAGGCCGGGCGCGAGCCGATGCAGGGTGCAACGCGTACCTGTAAAGGCGCACGGCGGCCCCCCGGAGCGGGGGAGGCGATGCAGTACTTTCGCAAAAAAGTTCTCTCGTGACACCCAAGTTAGGCTGTGCAAGGTTCCCTCATAGCAGAGCTCGCTGGATAATATGACCATTTGTACGGGCGAACACACGCGACACCGCTCGCGAGACTTCATTAGTCGTCTGCAGGGCTCCAGGATGACCCGGCAAGTTGGCCTTTGCCGGGGGAGCCTTCAAGGGACAGGATTGGATAGAATTCTCGAACTCGAGGCTGAGTGTGGCTGGCGCCGCTGCCACAGCCTCCACACTGTTGTCGTGAGCCCACTCCGACCAGTAAGGAAGAAGCATCAGTCGAGCGGTATGGCTGTTGTCTCCAGAAAGTCGAACGGACAACGTGCGGAGATTTCAACGAGGCAGAGTGAGGTAAAGATCGAACATCGTCCGCATCGTCCGCATCGCCAGCCCGCGCGTGACAACCTGTGACCGTAACTCAACTCAACTCAGCCCCCGCCCCCCGCGCGCTCAGCGTTGGGTTCGCGCTCAACGTCTCGCCCATCCTCTCCTCGGCCAAGCTCCACACTTGCCTCTGCCAAGCATGTCCGCGGCGGACGATTTCGCAGATACACCGACAAACGACGCGCCAGAACTCGCGACAGAGGATTCCAACTACGATGGCCAGCAGGATTTGGACCAGGACCTGGATACGGACGAAAAAACAGCCCAAGACAAGGAGGAGCCAATGAGCCCGCAGAACGACGCGGACATGGAGGACCTCTTTGGTGACGATAAGCCTGCTGACGAGGTGGTCCACCACCCAGGGTCCGTAGTTTAAAGTTTCGTAGTCTGCCCTCCTAGTGCTCAATTCAATATCGCGACCCATAGTGCCATAACACCGGCTTCGTCTGAACACGCGGACGGCATCTCCTCCCCCGACCGCAGGCACAGGGAAGCCCTCGAATATGCCGAAGAGGATGAGCCCGATCAAGATATCGTTGAGGAGGAGGTGCTAGAGGCCAGCGCGCAGATACCTAACATACCGGTCCCAAGGAGCTCGGACGGCAATGTGAGTTTCTCCCCCACCCACCCCAGGACAACTAGCCCGATATGGCATCATTACACATCTTGTCAAGACGTGCTAACGCTTGGGTGTCTAGCACTGGGTCATCCGCATCCCAAATTTCATCAAGGTTGACTCAAAACCCTTCCACCCCGATACATACATCGGCCCAGAACAAGAGGAAGAAGCTGCGCATGTCGGCGAGTCTTCGCGAGAGAAGGACATGTCCATCAAACTAAGAGTAGAGAACACTATACGATGGCATTGGATCAAAGACGAACACGGTCACGATGTAGGCTCGGGCATGCCCTCGCGTCTATTACTTCTCGCTAACTCTACGTGTAATTGACTCTTCGCAGCACCGACAATCTAACAGCCGCATCATCAGATGGTCCGACGGGTCATTAAGCCTTAAGCTGGGCAAAGAACTCTTCGACATCACTCAAACCATCGATACCTCCGGCGCCATTCCGCGGCAAGCCATCGGTGGCAACACACAGTCATCGCAGCAAGCGTCGCAGGCACCCGCAGCCGAATCCAGCGCAAGCGCAAAAGCTCAGGGTCTTACCTACCTAGTCGCGCAGCACAAGCGCGCAGAAATCCTCCAATGTGAAGCCATGATTGCCGGCACCATGTCGCTGCGTCCGACAGGCATGCAGTCGGAGACACACCGGATGCTTGTGCGCGCAGTCGGGCAGAAGCACACCAAGGTCGCGCGGCTGCGCATGGCCCCGGACCCGACGATGGACCCGGAGCGCGAGAAGCTCGAGCTGCTCAGGCAGGTGTCCAAGAAGACCCGCAAGCCCAAGGGCGAGGACGACGGTTTCGGCAGCACCCGGCGGCGGCGGACGGGCTACCCGCGCAAGCGCTCCGGCGACGACATGTGGTCCGACGACGACGATGACGACGACATCTTTGGCGGCGGCGGTGGCGGCGGCGGCGGCTCGGAGGACGAGTACGGCCATGCCGTCCCGAGCGCCCGCAAGGCCAAGCGACGCAAGTCGGGCGACGGCGAGGAGTCGGGCAGGCGCGGCCCCGGCGAGTACCAGAACGACGACTTCCTCGTCGCTGACTCGGACGAGGATGACGCGGGCTTTGCCGAGTCTGACGAGGGCGAGCGGCGCCGCCGGAAGAAGCGGAAGGCCCGGGATGACGACGAAGACGACTTGGATAAGCTTGACGCCAAGATCGAAGCGGAGGAACGGAAACGCAGACAACAAGAGCGAATCCAAGGTGCTGATGCCGCGGGAGGCGAGAAAGAAAAGCCGGCTGCGGATGAAGCGATGGACGTAGAAAGTGAGGAAGACGAGGAGGAGTGGGGTGTCCGGCGCGCCGGTGCAGGGTCGCGCAGGAAGCGCGCCATTGATTTCGACGACGACGAGGAGTAGTGGCCCGCATTTGCTATGTACGCACTGCTCCTGTTACGTTTTTGCATCACATTGCCCCTAGCAAGTCGTCCTCCTAGCGAGCGTGAGCATATGCTATTCATCTATCTGTGTACAGCGTGACCCCGTCCTTGCAGCATCCCGTTATCATCCCATCCATACATGGGCTTAATCTCATCAACTAGCACCTGGTTCTCCTTATTTCCGTGAAGTAAGTTTCTGAGCGTGAAAATGGCATGTTCTCGGAGGACTGTAAGATGCACAGTCAGCATTCGGATCCTATCGCCGCGTCACCGGAATTCTGGCAAGGTGCGGACAGGATCGGGTGTGCCGCCCAGAGTATGAACCCCATAATCGCAATACGATTACAGTCAAAGGACAGCTTGAGCACTCACATGGGTTGCGTTCGTCTATGACACACATGTTCATGACGACCTGTATCCCGCCGCAGGCACGGACGCGATCCTGAACCGCATTGCGGTCCGAAACCAGTATACCCAATAGCCGTACAAGGTCCCTCTTGAGATACTGGAAGCCCCTCGGGTCAGATGTGCTAGTGCTGCCGGCCCCATCGCCCTGTGCCGGCGGCGCCTGGCGCAGCCCGTGTGTGCCCTCCCGTAATCTGTCCACGGAGACAGCCGTAGGGGCGACCTTGCCAAGGGTGATGCGAGGCAAAAACCGATCCAACTGCCGGAGAGTCTCTTTGTGTTACGGTATTGAGTCACGGATCAAGGGATCAGCAACAAAAGTTCGCTCACCGATGAGGCACTCTATGAAGCCTTGGGCGGCAGACGACGTCGCGCTGCCAATCACGTCCGCAAGGCGACCGTCGGCGCGCCTCACTTCCGACGGATGGGCTACTGAGCTGGATATGGCGTTCCATTGGCTCTCCTCGGAAATCAAAGCGAGGGACGTGAGGCATTGGGTCACCAGAACAAGGGCCTCGCAAACTTTGGGCAGCAGCAGATCGAGCTCTTGCAAAGGCTCGGCATCTGCTTTGGCAGCTGCAGACGTGTCGATGGAAGTTTCTGCCGCTGCGCTAGGCAATTCGTCCTCTCGCTTGTCCTCGGGATCCTGCGTCGCACTAGCGTCGTTGGACCCCAGGGAGCGCAAAATCGCATCGCACGTGTACGTGGACAGCACGAAAAATTCGCGCGTCAGGAATTCGCCCAGGGTCTTGAGTTCGCTGCTATCCGGCGCGAGCTGCCGTGTCTGGGACGGCTGCAGATAAGAGTCGAGCAGCTTGAGGAAGGTCGTCTGGTGCGGCGACACGACTTCGCCCCTGCTGCGTCAAAGTACCGATATCCACGGGAGAAAAACCGGAGCGGCCCGCACGGACGAATGCAGTGTCCGTCACGAGTGAATAGGCCCCACAAGGAATTCCAACGTTTAGCGGCGACTTACGGAGCGGAGGGCAGGCCCACTTACACAGCGATGCGTGAGAAAGCGGAAGGCGCCGCGCCCGCCTCCACGATTTTCGAGTAAATGTGGTAGCTGGATAGCAGGCGTGAGAGAAATCGCGTCAGTAGAGCCGAGGATAGCCAAGAACGCCAAGGTCGTTTATCACGAATGCAATAAGTCTCGAAGGGAAAGTATCAAGGTACAAACCTAACAATACACTCACCCAATCTCAAACGCCAAATTACTGCCTGTTAATTCTTCCTCCTCGAATAGCGAGGCGATGCGGTCCAGCAGGGAAATGCACAATCGTGCTCCGCTGGGAGTGTTGGTCAGAAGGCTCCTATGGAAAGAATCGGCTGAGCTTCCACAGAATGCGCCACGCCATTACGATAGCTAGTGGTATGTGACAAGAGAACTCGGAGTTTCTTGCACTCAGTGGATATGCACTTACGTCCTATGGTTGCTGCCGTGCAAACAATTCAGGACGAGCACGAATGCCGCCGTGGTCGTTGCCACATCCTGAACGCCGAACAAGCGGCTAAGGATATCAGATGGTTGCGCTTGATAGGAGGTTAGACTCGTACAGTAAAATTAACTGCTCTTCTGGAAGCTTCAGGTACGACTCCCACAAGCGGTCTAGTAAGTCTTCATTGCCCGTCACTACATTGCACAGCGTCTGGGTCAACATCCTCGTCGCAGCGAGAGCTGTATAAGATTGCAACACGTCAACAATAATGTCATTAGAGGCAATAGGGATGCTCATGGACATTTTGGGTCCTGTAAAACCGTGTACGAGGTGTAATGCCGTAGGAGCGCCCGAATATCCGGCTCGTTGTCACTGTTATCCAAAAAATCGATGGTTCAGTCTATGGATTCTGGGGCACATGGGTGAACCGCTGCTGACAAAGCTCGCTGCTGGTTGTAGGGGACGGCAGCGACGATGTTCCGAGTGAAGCGTGCCAGACTAACGGTCCACGTTCGCAAAATTGTCTCGAGTTCTCCGTCTTCCTCCTCGGAGACCATGGCAGAGTGCGCTGCAGAGACCGCCACCCACAAGCGCTGCAGCTCGTGCCAGATATCGGGCTGGGCCCGGCCCATGTCGGCTCTGTGACCGTTAGCGTGGACTCAGGGAATGAGTAAAGGCACTGACCTAAGCTCCTCGTCTGAAGCGAGGGTCTTTGAGTGCTCATCGAGGACATCGACCACGCTCTGGATGGAGCCCCCTTTGTTGATATCTAGTTTTGAGCAAGCATCATGGAGCTGGATATTCGCAACAGCCATCGCGCACAGGAAGGCAGGGCTACAAAAAATCAGATGGGGATTTACAGCGGTCAGATGACTGTGATGGATAGCGATGCAACAGCCAGCGAAATCTTCTGAACAGCAACGGCGACCCGAAGGACGTTGCAAAGCGTCGGCACCAGCAGCGACTGTTTGTCGAGGGCGTTGTGGACGAAGATCAAATCTCGATCGGTCATTCGCCGACCGGGCGAGAATTGCGCTCGGTGGCGCGGCGCTTGAATTCAGCCGCTTTCTCGACACCGTTGCCGACGTTCAACTCAACACAAGCGACAATGAGCACAGCAACAGACTTCAATGTCTCGCTGGAGCCACATCTGGCGGACGCGCTACGGCCTCTCGTTCCCATCCTGCCGGAAGTCCTGTCCAAGGACCTTTCCACGACACTCGACTCGGCAGCGAAGACGGCAGCACCTAGTCCGCCCACGGCAGCTGAAGGAGTGGCAGAGGCTGGCGATGCCATAGCCAGTGCACCGCCCCTAATACCCTACTCCCTTCTCTCATCGATATCCGCATGGACGCGCTCGCCTGACGGGCACGACGCTCTCTCACGCTGCGACTCCCGCTTGGAGCCAACGGACTATACCATGGTGGCTCTGCTAGCCGGCACACGCACATCTCCCGAGAAAAACTTCCCACATATGCCTGTCAAGCCTGAGGCTAGTGAGGAAGCCCACCGGGAGCTGAATGACCGCCGCGCAGTCACGGCGGTCCTGAACGCGCTGCTTAGCGTAATCGGGTCTGGTGTCGCGACATGGTGGGCCGCGGACAGGCTCAATTGGAAACCAGAATGGGTAAGACTTCATGCGGTGTACCCAAGATGCTATGGCTGACTCTGGAAATCCAACTTTGCCTGTCTGTGTCATGCAGAAAGCCCTGCTCGCCCTATTCGTAGCGATCGTTGTCGCCGTCTCCGAAGCTATTTTGTTTATGATTTGGGATGCGCGACGATCGAAACGCATTACCAAACTGTCAAGAGCCCTCCGATCACAAGATGCTTCGACCCTTATTTCCGACGGTGAACAGGCGTCCCTGAAGGCACCAGAGGACGGCTTAGCAGCTGAACGAACTCACTCTCCCAACGGGAAGTCGCACATGCGTTCCATCTGCCTTTGGCCGAACTTGCGTCGGCGCCCCGTCTACACCAGTACCTCTTCCGAGGGCTCAGTCCCTACTATGCGATCGATGTCTCTGACATCATCACCGCCCATACTACTGGTCAGGTCGTAAGCAGTGATGGACAGGCACAGTGGGCGAGTGATCCTGCGGGTCAGGATGAGATTGGTGGCGGAAGAGAAGGCAGGCTGGAGGTTTGGGGATTGACAGGATGGTATCTGAATGTGCTTATGCGAATACTCGGGGTGTACTCACCCATAGATCCCCATCCACCTGCATGATGGATGGTGTTTCATATGACCTGCTCGCCACCTTGTAGCCGTGCCTGTAGGACAACTAGAGTTTTATATTGACCCAGCGAGGCGGGGAAGGGGCTCATCGCGGCGAAGTTGTTTTGTTCTCGCCGAATGTGGTTTAGTGCTCTTCGGCGTAGTGCACGCCGTCACACATACCGTAATGTCTGTCAGTGAAACGTTTAACAGCGCTAATACGCCATGTTGCGACAGGGGGGGATGTGGCAAGAGATAACCATTACTGTGACGGTATTTGGGTTTCGAAGCTTGCGAAGGCAAACTCGGCTGTACAGGCAGCGACATCCATCCACGGGGTTACACAGCATCCCTATCAATAGATTGCGTCGATCGTTGTGTTGACCTGCACTCACGATTTATCACCAATTTACCAATTCCGCTAGATTACTCGCTAACACCGTGTACCGCAACGCACTTGCCACACCCGCTAGTGACGTAAAGCGCTTTCCGCGCTCCGTACGGCTAGCCGGAAGATGTTTTAGTGCTTGAGACGTTGAATCTGTATCGATAGGGCCCACAAATCCGGTTCTGTCGCTGCGGTATTAGAGATTTGAGGCTAATATACTTACACGCTGTCAGGTCTTCCTTTTCTCCGACGTCAGCTGGCTGAACGAAGGTTAAACTAACTCGGAGTGTGTTGACTTTGTGGCACGCGCACCAGAAATGCAGGGTCCTGTTACTTATTTCTGACTTCCGCGACCTGACTGCGGCCGTCTCTCGCGTAACCCTGCCGTTGTCCGATGTTCTTGCACACCCGGGGCTGCACCCGGCACTGTTTCAGTCCTCGATCTTCAGATCGGCCAAGGCGAGATTCGGGAGCGGGGTATCTGCTGCTCCGCTCATGCATGCGCTCTCGGTCTCCCCAGGCTCATCATAAGCGGGTGCAGTCGGATGGATGAAGCCCTACTCATTGTAACAATGTCATGGTGCGCTATCTGATCATGGTCGCACCTTACTCACCACATACGGCCACACTCGAAGTCCGCCGAGCGATAGTTGGGGTGGACCGAAGCGGCCAAGGATACTTACCTGTTCCGGACGTATACCCACCTCCTCCTGGGTTTCCCTGAGTGCTGCTGCGAGCGTAGAGGTGTCCGTCTGAGGGACAAATTGTGCCCCGGGCTTAGCGTACGTTGTAGCACCGAGACACGTTGTACTATACCTCGTCTACCCTACCACCTGGAAAGCTAATACCGCCGCCGATGAATTGAAGTCAATGCCGAACCCTCCACACGACGCCGAAAGGGTCCTCGCACCTCACTTCGCCCGAATGTGTCCTCAGCTTGCCCCGCACTTCGAGCAGGACCCCGGGCTTGCCGTTAACGTTACAGAACGGTGCCAGCACCGCAGCATGCACTTCATCGGGGTCAAAGCTCTCGGTCTGAGTTGAATAATGCTCCTGGAGCAGATTCCGTATGATATTCAGCGAGTTTCTCGTCAAGGGCGCGGTCAAAGAGAGCGTGGACATCGCGGGTCGTGGTGAGGCGATCAGCGCTCTGCGCAACATGTCTTAGCGCCGCGGGTTGGGACCGCTGAGGTCATGCACTCTGCCGTACGCGCTTTCGCCTGCACCGCATCCACCGCCACTCGACTTGTCCCATCCAGGGATGCAAGCCTTGTGAAATATGCCTGGAGGCTATCACCTACGGCTAGAGGTCTCGAAATCCACGCAGACACCGTCGACACCTTCGTCTTACCAGCGGTCGCACTTGGACTCTAACACTTTCATACCGTCTTCGATATTCCAGTCTCTGCCCGCTCACCAAGCAAAGCCGACCGGCCGAAGATACTCATTCTTTCTGCCCAGAGACCAGGCGCGACTGTCAGAGGCAGCGCCACCTGGAGAGCCCTCTGCCTACAAAGACTACCGCTTTGGGCCTTTACGCGTAGACTGGGTGGACTTCGACGACATGAATCTCAATGGACTGACTCGAAGTGGACCTAAGAACGACAGAAGCAGGAACCCTCGTAGTGCGTAGTTCTTTTTTGCCAGAGATTCGCTGTAATGCTTCAGAGATTCGAGTCCTTCATGCAGACCTTGTTATCTTCGGCGTGGTCCGTGTGAAGGAGCCTCGTTAGCCTCTAAGCTGAAGCCTCACCATCCTGCCACTAACGTTGCTTGCAGGTGGTCCAACCACGGGAAAATTCACTCCTGCGAGGACAAAGTCGGGCTCGACCAATCTTCCTGAAGGCGTTGTACACATTTACCGAGAACCATCGCAAGAGAGTACGAGCGAAGCAGGCCCCTCTACGTCGTCTGGAAACAATTCTGCACCGGCAAGCCTGGATTGGGATGGTGTCACCTTGGCGGTCCTTGCTGTGCCTTCTTGGATGACACCTTCGGACTTTCTGTCTTTCGTCGCCCCCGCTGCTGAGGGCATGGCCCACCTGCGCATGATTCGGTATGTGGCAGCCTAGTACCTCGTACTGCGCATATTCTAAGCTCATAACGTACAGGGACTCAGCTCCGAACCGCTCCATTGTGGTGATCAAGTTTCGCAACGCAGAAGATGCAGCCGAGTTTGTCGAGGCGTATAATGGCAAACAATTTAACTCCATGGAGGTGTGTATCCCTGCAAACTGCGAAGTTCTTCTCGCTCATTTTTCTTCACCAGGCCGAGATCTGTCATGTCGTACGGATTCTTTCTGTGGAGATTGCAGCTGACGACATCGTCGGGCAGTCGATTACAAAACTCTGCTCTGCTCAGGGAGAGGCGTACGAACTTCCTACATGCCCAGTGTGTCTGGAGAGGATGGATTCTGCGGTAACGGGCCTCGTTACCGTGCCGTGTGCCCATACTTTCCATTGCACATGCTTGAGCAAATGGGGTGACAGTCGGTACGTACAGATACATAAAACTTTAGCTTTGACTGGTGCTGACAGAGCTTCTAGTTGTCCGGTTTGTCGGTACTCCCAGACACTGATGTCCTCACATCCTGTGTCATCCAATACTTCACGGTCCAACGTCCCCATTCCCTTCACCTCGTCACCTTCCTCATCGCGCTGCTTTGATTGCCCAGACGATTCTTCATCGACGTCTAACCTGTGGATTTGTCTCATCTGTGGGAACATCGGCTGCGGACGCTATGGACGAGCACATGCACACGCCCACTATGAGCGCACGACCCACCTGTACGCCTTGGAGCTCGAGACCCAGCGAGTCTGGGACTACGCCGGCGACGGCTACGTCCACCGGCTCATCCAGAACAAGGCTGACGGCAAGCTCGTCGAGCTCCCCTCGGCCGCGTCGTCGATGACCACGGGCGGCAGCAACCGCGACGGCGGCGGTGGGCCGAGCGCCGCCGACGCGCTCAGCGCCGAGAAGATCGAGGCGATCGGCATCGAGTACTCGTACCTGCTCACGTCGCAGCTCGACTCGCAGCGGACGTACTACGAGGCGCAGACGGCGGAGATGCGCGACGAGGTCGGCGCGCTCAAGAGCCTCGTCGAGCGGCTGAGCGCCGACGTCGAGGAGGGCCGGCGGCGCTCCCGGGACGAGGAGGCCCGCCGGCAGGTCGAGGCGGAGGAGCGCGCCGCAGAGGTCGACCGCGCGCGGACCAGGGCGGAGAAGCGGGCGGAGAAGGCCTGGGAGCTCGCGCGCTCGCTCGAGAGGGAGCTCAAGGGCGAGCGGGCGGTGGGCGAGGGCCTGCTGAAGAACCTGGCGGCGGCGAAGGAGCGTGCGGGGAAGGCGGAGGAGGAGAAGGAGGAGCTGAAGGCGAAGGTGGCGGAGCTCGAGGACCAGCTGCGAGACGTCATGTTCTTTATCGAGGCCCGGGACAAGATCGAGAACGGGGAGGGCGCGGTCGCCGAGGCTGCCGGAGGGTCGCTCGGCGTGTCGTCACCGGCAACGAACGGATCGGCGAGGAGGAGGAAAGGCAAGAAGCGATAGCGAGCTCACCGGAACGCAGGCAGATCGTGCATGCCCGAGTGGTATTCCTGTCTGACGGCTCACACTTGCCCCAGGACGCCAGCCATCGCTCTTTACGATGATCCTCGCCCACGTCGTTGCTGCTGAGATCAGATAACGGGCGACGCGTCCCGTGCAGAGACTCCAGCGGGAGGCCGTTGTGCGACTAGGTTATCGCCATCCAGGTCAGCAGAGTCCTCCTTTCCGGCAGGGCCGGCGTGCCCTCCTACACCCGCTTCGCGCCGTCCGCCCACGCGCCCGCGCGCCCCGCCGTACTTTCCTCGGTAGCGTAAAATAAACCTCTGTCGGTGGCTATGCCGCAGCCTGGCGCGAGCCGCGCCCTTCTCGAGGATCGCGATCGTCGTTCTCCAGGGTCCCCCCATCCGCCCTTCGCGAAGCCCGCGCGATGTCATCGTTACGTGTCAGGTACTACTCCATGTCTAAAATCTGTACTTCTATCGACGAGTGGCCTTCCTAGGAAACAGCGTCCGTGCGTGTGTGTGATACAGACGAGATCTACGGCTTGATTGGTGAACGGGAGTTTGTTGTGGGTCGTGCTCAGCGATGTCCAGCGCGAGATGCACGGAGTGATCTGCGTGCCCCTTGTCAGGGCGTCCTCGAATTTGTTTTAAATACTTTGACCCTGACAGAGAACAACCTCGTTTTGACTCACGGAGGTGTGTTGAGCGACCGTTTGACCGCAGTTTTCTGCCTCAGGAGATCGCGCGCATGAACGTTTGGACCCTTGACCGAAGTGGCGCGCACCAGTGGGAGCGGTAAGGTGTACTTTTCTGGCTCGCCACTTGGTTCTCAGGTCTCGGGTCTCAGGCCTTCAGGGGACCTGGTATCCAGTCCCATTGAGACCTTCCGGCCTTTCGAGGACACGAGCAACGCCGAGATGCGATAGAGATGAGATTATTCATTATGTACCAATGCATCGAAAGGTCATGAACGGGCGTCGTTGCTACATGCCTACGTTATACTCGTAGAAACAACAATGTGGCGAAGCGGGGGGTGGGGTGTCTCTGTGCGCGTGTGGAATAATAACTAGTCGTACAACGCCGAGCCCCAATGAGAAATGTGTGGGGGCGAGGGCGGAGAGGAGGGGGGGAAGGGGGGAGGCAACGGCCGCTCAGACCTTTTCGTCCTTCTCGTCGACGTGCAGGTGGTGCTGGCCCGCTGCGAGATCCGCGGCGTGAACATCGTTCGCGACGATCTCGCGACGGTAGCGCGCCGAGGTGAGAGGCGTCGAGTTCTGGTAGAGGAGGTCGACCTGCTCGAGCGAGAGGCCCTTGGTCTGCGCAGAGGCGTCAGGAACTGGTTGGACGATGCAGAGCAGGTCAGAAAAAGATGCTCACCTCGGGGATGCAGAAGAAGGCAAAGACGACGCAGCACGCGCAGGTCGAGCCCCAGACGAAGAACACCTTGGCCTGGAGGTCGGCGTTGCCCGGGCCGGAGTTGACGAGGAAGGGCGTGGCGTAGCCGATACCGAAGTTCCAGAGCCAGTTGGACGCGACGGCGAGGGACATGGCCTTGGCACGGACGTTGAGCGGGAAGATCTCGCCGACGACGACCCAGGCGATGGGACCCCAGGTCGAGGCGAACGCGGCGATGTAGATGCACACGAGCGCGACGAGGGCTTTCTGACCGGACGAGTTGTTCACCGAGATGGTGACGCCGATGATCGCGACGAGGAACTCGCAGATGCACATCACGACGGCACCCCAGATGAGCAGTGGGCGACGGCCGAAACGCTCGATACCCCACATGCCGGGGAGAGTCATGAACACGTTGACGATGTTGGTCGCCACCGAAGTCAGGAAGGGATTTTTGATGCCCGAGTTGGCGAAGAAGGTCGTGCCGTCTAGAGGTGCTGTTAGCACAGAGCTTGTGTCCAAGACCAGGAGGGAACTCACAATAGAAGATGAAGTTGATACCGGTGAGCTGCTGCCACGCCTGGATGAAGATACCGGAGAGGGTACGGAGGGCGATCTTGTTGTGGCTGGGCCGGAAACAGTCAATGTAGCTGCTCTCGCCGAGCTCCTGCTCCTCCTTGAGGTTTGCGCGGATGTCGTTGAGTTCGACCTCGATCTCAGGGTCGGAGGGGTCAAGTGACGTGAGGCGGGAGAACGACTTGGCAGCAGCTGCGTCGCGTCCCTGTTTGATCAGGAAACGAGGGGACTACAAAGGAAGGTCAGAAAGAGATTCAGAACAAAGGACGAACAGCGACGTACCTCGGGCAGCCAGAACATGCCGACGGTGAGGATGAACGCCCAGATGAGCTGGACGCCGGTGGGGATCCGCCATGCCGAGTGATCGTCGCGGTCCTTGGTGGCGTTGTTGACGACCGAGGCGAGGAGGAGGCCGATCGTGATCGCCCACTGGTAGCCCGAGACGACGGCACCACGGATCCACTTGGGCGAGCACTCGGACTGGTACATGGGGATGAGGACCGAGACGAGGCCGACGCCGAGACCGGCGAAGACACGGCCGATGATGAAGGCGGCCCACTGGTGGGAGCCGGTCTGGAGCGCGACGCCGAGGGAGAAGACGGCGGTGGCGAGGAAGACGCCGCCGCGACGGCCTAGCTTATCGGCGACGTACGCACCGAAGAGCGCACCTGTGATGGCGCGTCAGCGCTTGTCGCTGCATTAGGCAAACCAAGTTGGACTTACCAAAGAAGGTACCCGCGGAGAGGATGGAGGTGACGAGAGACTGCTGGGCGGAGGTGATAGCGTAGCCGGTGGGGTGGTTGGCAAAGTCAGTGGTGGGCTTGCCGTAAAGACGGAGGAAGTCCTTCATGGCCGTGATACCAGAGATGGTTCCTGTGTCATAACCGAAGAGGATACCAGCGAAGGCGGCGAAGGAGACCATGACGATGCCGGCGACCTTGCTCTTTGGTGCATTGGCACCGAGGCCGGGGCCGGATGCAGCGGGACCACCAGGCATGATAGTTGTTGACTCGGCTTGTGAAAGCGAGAGTGAGCGGTGGGGAAGCGATGTGGGGAAGACCGCGAAGAAGACCAGGCGGGGGTGGGGACAGGCCGCCCTTTATACGTGATTAGCTCACGCGAAATTTATTTTTTAGAAAATGAGCGGATCGCAAGGGTAAACAACGAGCTGAAAGCGTGACCATGCGGTCCCTCTCGCCCTCCATCAGATCCAATTCATATCCAGGCACAACCAGACTCGCCCTGCAAACCATGGCCTCAATTTCTCGCCCCGGGAGCATTCCTGGCCCCACAGCACCGACGCGAGGCATTGGCGCAGCGTGTGCAGGCCAGCGAGGGTGCGCAGGCCCCGCCGTGGTTGTCGACGACGTGCTCCAGCAGCTTGGGAGCATGCAGGGCAGGCTTCGGACATCAACCTGCCTTTACACGCCATCTGATTGCGGAGGTGCATCTCGTGTGCAGCTAGCCACTCGAGACCCTGCAAGAGCAGATCGGTGCGGAGCTACCATAGCACCGGCTCGTCTGGCTGGTAGTACAGCACCCGACATCCTCCCCGCGAAGATCGCTTGGCAACTCCCAATCCAAATCGAAAACGCGCCATCCCTCGCCCGCCGATGCCGCAAAGCAAACCCAACCCACGACTGCCATTCCCCCGCGCCGCTTCCGGCCTAAAGCGCAAGACGCGTCCTGCAGAAAGCCCCGGAGCGTGCCCGCAAGCTCCGCTCTCGCGTGCATTCCACGGCTCTCATCCGTGGCCCCGACGTCGTCCAGCCCTCGCCGCTTCGTCCTCATTGGTTTTCGCGCCCCGGACCATCCCACACACCACACGGACGCGGGCGGGATATTCCGCCCCCCGCCCACAGCCACGAGCGCCCGCGTTGCCGGGCACTACGCCGCTAGTCTCGATCTCTCCGGACGGTCGGCTCCGGGTCTTCTGGCTCCTTTGCGCCTGCGTGCATCCTCATTAACATTTATCATGATTGAGGAATCCTCTCGACCTTGTCTAGAAGCTAGTTGTCTTCCCTGTAAACGGCACCGCCAACCTTGAACTGGATGTCATTGCCAAAGAGGACGCGCTATTCCCCGTCCGTCTCACAGCGCCAGTCGCTCGCGCTCGCGCGCGGGAGCACAGAACTCTGGCGAGCTGTCCCTCGAGGCTGGCGACCCACCCCAAGCAAAATTTCAAGCGCGCCCACAGCGAGATCGATCCCGATCGCCAAATTACAGCCCCCGAAACGGCATCCCATTCGCACGCCGGAGCATGTGGGCAAGCAGGCGGGGGAGCGATATTTGGAGAGCATTGTAATATTTGTTCCCCCCCCCCCCGCCTCCGCC